ATTTTCCTGCTGCAGAAGTTAAGGCACTTCCCTCCACAGTTACTAAATCTGACAAATTACACCTGGGCCTACTCTAACATGAGAAAGTGTGCTCTTTGTTCCTGACCCCTTGGTCAGCCCAGAGATCAGATTCCTGCACATAGGAAAGCCCCACTCATATTCATTAAAAGCCACGGGAGACCGGCTCGGCGCTGCTGTGGAAGAGGGGACCGAGATGCAGGCTGCTGCTGAACCGCCAACCGCTCTGCTCAGTGCAATATAGACTCTACTCTTTGTAGCTGGGCTGCTGATCAAGTAGCACCAGGATTTTCCCCTCTAAACAGTACCTTAGTAACAAAAGAGCAGTTGAAATTAAAAAAAAAAAAAAGGAAGGGGCTAGTGAGTGTTTAAATGCCAAGTCCCACAAGTGAGTTTACCAAAACTTGCTTGCACTAAAATGCTGGCTGCACAGATCAGTAACCAAAAATACAAAAAAAATTATTCAGAAATGCCACTGTCCCTCCACCGTGGCCAGAAGAGCGGTTTGTTACCACAGTGGCTAATTGGACAGGTTAGAGTGTTGTCTCCCCTTTCTAACCATACTCAGCCTTTGGAAAAGACATTGCAGAGCTGAGGGATCATAAAGAGGAAATCAGGAAGCATCTTGGCGGCAGAGAATCAACAGGAGGGATACAAGAAACCCACAAGCTTTCCTGTGGGGACAGTAAAATCCTAAGGGGACCTAGTTGTCTGCAACACAGACCCCTCCTCTTCTGTCCCCCCCAAGGAGGGGGAGAAAAACATAACAGGAGAAGTTAAGAAAAGGTGTGGCTGACCTGCGACACCCAAAGACGACAGCGCATCCAGCCTTTCTTTAAGATTCCTGGAATAACGAGATGGTGAAGGAAAATAGACAGAAGCCACAAGCAGCTGTCAAAAGGCCTCCTGAGGCAGGGGTGTCCCCAGGAAGGCATCAACTTTCATCCTCCTTCCAGGAGTTCATCTTTCTCCCTGGACAAGGTACCCCACTTACATGTCTTCAGTGTGGACCAGTGAATTTCCCCAGGCCCAACAAACCATCTCCAAACCGCCTTCCTTGGGGATCTAAGGAACACCACAGTGCACTGCAATGTGAAAGCACTGTCCGTTATTTTCCACGTACATATACCGACTACATGGTAAACCAGGAGATACTGCTTTCATCCTCCCTGATCTTTAGGAAGCTCTCATCACATGTTTATGAGTTGTAGTATTTCAAGCTATAAACATGTAATGAATGTGGACTAATGCTCCTTTTCTGTGGGAGACCAAGTCACATTTTTTAGATGCATGAGTCATAGCTATCTTCTTGGTCAGATGGCAATTACTTTTGAGAAACCCATGACAGGATGGAAATCTTTAGTATCTACAATAGGTCCTTATTTTGATTTCTGTTTTATTGATTAGCACCACTAGCAAATCAACAAATCAGAGAACTTAATATTTCCCCCACAAAAAAAGTCACTGAAAAGGCATGTATATCAAATGTAAACCTGTTCCCATAGTTTGGGAGGTTACACTATCTAATGGGTTACTAAGCAAGCAGCCACCAATGGGACAATCTCAGGAAAGGAAAAACCTAACTTGGGAGCCAGAAAAGTGGTAACTTAGCTTCTAGTTGAATTCTTAACATGAAAGAGGTTAAAAAATTGTATGCAAGATATTAAAATAATAAAGTATACTCACAAAATCCTGATTTTGAAGATTCTGACTTTGGTGATGTTCAAGTGAGTTGCACAGGAAGAGACTAGTATAGAATTCGTTGCCCGTTTTTTGACAAGATAGAAGTTAAGAGATTCACCTTGTCTCCCAATCAGCAGAGGCTAGAACCCACCCCATCTGACTCCTAGTGCAATAGTCTTCGTATGGAGTGGACACAGGTATAAAATAGACTGGAAACACCCTATGTCCGTAATAGCTTCTCAAATGCTTACTGGATGCTAGGAAGTCTTCTGCGCACTGTGAATGCATTAACTCATCTATCCTCCTAACAACTGCGTGAGGGACATCAGGATGCTATCTCCCACTTCAGAGGTGAGAAAACAGATGCATGAAGATGTTCAGACACGCACCCCAGGTCCCAGAACTGAATAAGTGGGATATCTGTGGAAACCTGCCCTCCCTGCACAGAAATGCTCCTGGAAGCTCCCCTAAGTCAGTGTTCAGATGATCAACAGTCCTGGGAATATTAAGTTTGACAAAACAGCTTCCCAGTAAGATCCACATTTCTGGCGCCTCCAAAATTTCAGATGAGACTGAAATTTCCTTTTCACCAACCTTTGCATTTTTCATCAAAAGACAAAGCAGTAACAATTCCTATAGATTGACACAAATTCTATGTAAAGATCTCCTTTGCTGTAGCGAGGTGCTAGGCAGAAAGTAGTTCAAGCTTTCTGAAAACAAAATATGTATAAAACCAACCTCAGGACAACATTTCAGATGGCTAATGGTGCCTATTTTCTTGACTTTACCACCTTTTCCAATATTCAAGTAAAACTTCGGAATAATATGAACCCAGTGCGGACATAAACTTTGTCCGAAGTTTGTACCACCAGCAAAAATGTATTACCCACCATCATATCCCATATTTGAATTACTATGTTTTTTATTTCTTGAGATGCTCCAAAATCTGCCCCAGGATCCAAAAATCACTCCCTCATTCATCACAGCCATAATCTGATTTAGCTAAACCAGACGCTACACAGGTCTAATATATCTGCACAGAGAGAGGGGAAGTTTGTTTGCTATCATCACTTCTGCAACTATCAAGCCAGGGATCTTGGAAAGTCCTGCATGTTCAGGAGTAGCCTTCAATCTTCTGTGCCCTTTGAAGATATTTCTGAAATCATCTGAAGTTATTGAATAAATGGCCAGACTCCACATAGAGCTGCTCTGTCTGTCAGAGGTCATGTCTCAATTACCTGACAGTCAGTAAGAAGCAGCTGAAATGCTCCCCCTCTCTCCTGCTGTTTACCCAGAAATGCTCATATCAACCTCCCATTCTACCCTGAGGTCGGTTTTCAGGGTCCTATTTAACAAGATTAGTTTCTGCTGTTTATTCTCTTTTCCCTTTACTGCTTTCTCACATATAAAGTAATTAATTGACATACATCAAGAAATCTGGGTATAGCCACTGCAGATAATAACCTCTGATTCCCACACTGTGACCACTGCCACCCCAGCCATTCATGTACCCAACTGTCAGACTCAAATCAGGAGCCTGCCATTTGATATGTGTGATTCTTGAGCAGTTACTGAACCTTTCTGTGCCCGAGTTTTCTCATCTACCAAATAAGAATCATAGCAGTGCCTACCTCTTAAAGAAAGGTAAAGTGTAAATAGGATGTAAAATACCGTTTCCCCGAAAATAAGACAGTGTCTTATATTAATTTTTTCTCCCAAAGTTGCGCTAGGTCTTATTTTCAGGGGATGTCATCTTTCCATGCGTTAGGTCTTATTTTTGGAGGATGTCTTATTTTGGGGGAAATATGGTAGTGCCTGGCACGCATAGTAAGGACTCAGTTAAGAGTTCAAAATCATTGCCAGGCTGATTTTAACATGGAAATACTTCCTGTACCCACTCATCAGTCTTTTTGGATGCCAAATAAAATAGAAAATGTCTCAACTTTTTGTGCTACAGAGGACAAACCAAGCTGTTGAATGGGGTGGCCAATCTGAATGTACTCTCTTTGTCCTCTTACAGCCTTAACCTGCAACTCTTGGGGCAAGGCTGGAATACTTCTCCAGGTTGTGTTGGTAAACATTAATTCTTCTGCTCTATATACACATGGAACACTTAAATATTACACAAATTATAAAAATCCAAGACCAGTTTGATGTGGATCTCCTGAACTGTCAGATTTTAAAGATGAAAAAACTGACTCTGAAGGTTCAAAATCCTATAAATACTTAGTGGCAGAGCCAAGGCCAGAAAAGTAGTAATTATTATCCTAAGCCAGTGGTTGACAAACTGTGGCTCGCAAGCCGCATGCGGCTCTGGAGTGTGGTTCTTCCACAAAATAACATGGGTGGGCGCAAATGTACACTGAGATTGAAACTTCGTGGCCCATGCGCAGAAGTCAGTTTTCAGCTCTCAAAAGAAATTTCAATCATTGTACTATTGATATTCGGCTCTGTTAACTAATGAGTTTGCCGACCACTGGCCTAAGCAAACCACCAAGGACTCTGCTAAATCCACTGCAAATGTCACCAGATTTAATCTTCATCCTAACCCTCTGAAGTAGGTATCATTTTCACCCCGTTAGAGATGCAGACACTGGGGCTCAACCTCCGTGAATTAGCTTCTTCAAAACCAGACAACAGATGACTGATAGAGCCAAGATCAAAATACTTCTTGACTGGCCCCTAAGCATATGCCCCCGCTTCCCATTTTCTAGATCTCAGTGCTGAGAACTCTAGGACTGAGCTCGCAGCCTGTGGTTTCCTAACTGCCACTGCACCAGCTTTTGCAAAATACGGACTCCTGGGCTCCACTCGTCAGGAGGGAGAATCAGAGTCTCCAGGGGCAGGGCTTCAAAATCTGTATTTTTCTCAGAGTCAATGATTGACGTATTAGTAAGAGTTGAGAAACCCCAATCTAAGCAAGATATTTTATGAGTGCTTCCAGTATCTACTGAGAGGGGAAATGAGTGAGCGAAGGCTGACCGGAGTAGCTGAATCTACATGGAGAGGAACAATGGAGACCTTACCCAAATTCGTCTGTGTCCCACTGAGACACAGGAAGCCCTACCCATATGGGCCAAGCCCTGCTCCCATCCATCTTGCTTAAAGACATCTGCATCACAATGCAAACAACAAACACAGCCCTCCCCAGCAGTGCCAGACTAAGTGTTCTGTTAGGAAACCAGCAAGAAGGTTTCTTTCCAGCCTCATCCTTTTTGTTTAAAGCACCTAAGTCTGCATGCACCACGCCTTCTTAGCGCTGAGCACATCAGAGGGCAAGACTTCAAATGAACACTTACCAAGGTGCACCGTATATCCTGAATCCCTTCACTGTTACCTCCGAGTCTTGTAAGTAAATACTGTTTGTCAGGAGGGACTGAACGTTGTCAAAGTCCTCTGGTTTCAATTTAGACACAGAGGGGAAACGGTAGTAGTCCTGTTTAACGAGGTCTGCCATGAATTCCTTATCGAATGTCAGTTCATGATTCCCAGCAATCACTATTTTATATTCATACGGCAGGTTTCCTGAAAGAAGGAAAAAAAAAAAAAAAAAAAAAAGAGCACCAATTAGCACGTTCATTTCCCATCACAAAGTACAACAGCCGAGACTGCGTGATTAGCAGCCGGTATGCCCAAATGAAATAGCTCATACATTCCTTTATATTTCCATGGGAACCAAAATTTATGACTACCCCTTTATGCTAACAAAAATGACAATAAACGGGAAATGAGAAGCTGCTAAGAAGCTGAAAAGCTACTAAGAAGACATTAAGTTTTCTGGTTCCATTTCCCTCTTCTGTATGCTGCAGAGTCACTGTGATGAATCCAGAAAAAAAAAAACAAAAAAAAAAACACTTTAATCACGATCCTTAAAAGAGGTCTGGACTTGGTTTAGTCCTCAGAAAATAAGCAGACCACACTGTAAGGCATGTAGACATAGAACCGCTATGTTTTACGCCTGAAACCAATATAATATCGTATGTCAACCATACCTTAATAAAATATATATCAACCAACTATTCTTAACAACTTAGATAACTGCTAGATTTTTAACAGATCCTTCATATAAAAAAACGTTGCACAGCCAAGCATTCCATAATTTAAACAAACAAAAGGAACGCCATAATACAATTTCATATGTTAAGTTAAAGTCTACCTTTGGACTCAGAAATAAAAAGAACATTAATAATGCCTCTTCCTCCCCCATTAGCAGGCTAACTTTCTACCCACCAGGGATGGGAAAAGATACTGTAAAGCTTAACCCCCTTTTAATATTTATGGGATGGAAATGGGAGTTCTCGGTGTGTGCTTTTTATGCAAAAGTTTCTCGATCGAAATGAGATAATTCTGGGAAGAAGAATGAAAGCTATAAAGGAAAACCCAAACACCAGACTTCTGCATAGATTTATAATATTTGAATAAAGTACAGATCATACATATTAATAACTCGTGGTGATGCTATAAGAACCAAAATCCAAAGGGAGATAGTGTCGGGCAGCTGTCCCCATCCTGAAATTAATGCCCTTTCTATTCATTTTCATTACCCATGCCTCAAGCCTCACCGCTGGGCTGCTGCTACTCATTTCATTTTATTTCATTTTATTTTGAAAGAAAAAAGGGCGGGACAACGGTGCCTGTAATTCCAGCTTCCCGAGGCTCCAGGGTCCAAGGCAAAATGAATGTTCCCTGCTATTCCAGGAAGAGTGAACGTTCCCACTAGCAGGACACTGGATCCACTTGTAAAAAACTCGTCCTCACCAGCAAGCCAGAGTCAATGATTTAATTAATGAAGCTTAGTGGGAAAGAGAATGGTACCCTTTTTTTGCGGGGGGGGAGGGGGAGTGCAAATTTTGTCATGAGTCCACGTGGATTGCAATGCAAACTGTAGGGATTACACTGTGACATCCACAATCCCAGCAGCACACCTCAAACGTATCTGCCAATAGTGAAGGGATTTTTAAAATTGCTAAAATATGCTTTGCAATGCTACTAGTTTTTCTTTGGCTTTCACTTTTTAGGCGTCTAACTAATAAAATAGCACAAACAGCATGTAGATTAATGGGGAGGCTAAAGCGAGAGATGAAGGAGTCAGAAAATGAAAGAAAGGTGGAACTGAAAACACAATAGCCAAATGTCAGTGAGTATCCTTGACGACTAGCCCAGGATGCTGTGACATGCCTTTGGCCTCGGCTGTTTGCAAGGTGGACAGCTCGTGGAAAATAGAATGCTTCTCTCAAATGCATGTTTATGTGAGTTTATAATCCACATTAGCATAATGCAATAAGGAGTGCAATGCATATTGTAAACTACCCGGATACAATGATAGCATTTTGCACAATTCCTTGCGATCAAAATACAGATGAAAGATACCTAACAGGCTGCAAATTCCCAGCACGGCACACGCTGGAAACTTGTGAGATGCCCCACAATTCTAATACGGAGGCTCTGTGACCCCACTGGCCTAACAGGACACCCCCAGGTTCACCTGTGTTCCCAAGGCTGGAACGTTTTCCTGGACAGTCATCTGTTCCAAGGCAGGTCCTACTGGCAACTGTATTTGTACAAGTCACACTGCAGCTGCCCGGTTCCTCTTTAATCATTCACGAGGATGGACTCACTCTAAGCCTTTTTCTTTATGCACCGCTGCTCTTGCAAGAGGGCTTTGGCTTCTCGCTTTTTCCATTTTAGAGCTTTGGTTCACGGATGGCAAGGGTGAGAATGGGAGGCAAGGCAAAAGGAAGTACACGATTCCCCTTCAGACTAGTTTTAAAAAATAAAATAAAATAAAGCTGCTGCAAAGTAAATCTTTCTCAGGAAGATAGGACTCCTCCGAGTCTTTTAAATCAAATTGGGAGACGCGACATAAAGAAGTAGCCACCAAAATGAACAGCCGCAGAAACAGTGATGAAATTTACACACTGCCAACAAACTCATCTCTTCCCGGGAATCCAATAGTAGTTTCCAACTTCCATTTTCTGTCACCTATGTTATGAGATTGTCTGACATATTTTCTTTTTTTTGCTGAACTGACCTTTCATCTATAATCTGCCAACCTTTATGTTTTATATGAAAAGTGTAAGCAGGGCAGCTGACAAACCTCCTGTTACTTGACAGCATTTTATTTTTCCCCAAACCAGATTAATTTGGAAGTTTCTGCAGTCACGCTCCACACGTCTTGGTATTCAAATAGCATCAAACAAAAAGGTGCCTGCTTTTATCCATTTTATTCAGACCTGCCTAAATTAAAAACCAAGACCACATGGGAAAATTCTTTCTTTGAATGACCTAAGGGACTCAACCAACTAAACAGTTCCATCTTTCCCAAGACATGATATATGTCCTACTTGTGATATACAAAATTATTTTAGGTGGAATGGAGATGAACTTCTGGCAAAATGTCAAATGGTGTTTTTTTGTATGTTTTAAAAATACACATTTGAAAAGTATAATGTAACAGTGCAAATAATATATAGATTCATTTTTTTTTCTTTTTCATTTTTATACAGGGCGGGGCAAAAGTAAGTTTCAGTAGTTCATATGGAAAATAGCTCAATAATTAATAAATAATAATTCAAGAATGAACTGTAATTTTTCGTACTCACAACTGTAGACCTACTTTTGCCTCAACCTACAATACATATGATGCATGAGATGATTTAAAGAAAACTATTGAGCAAATAATTGTACAGATAATTCACAAATATGGCAAATAATAGCACAGCTAACTCACCAATATAATGAAGTAGAAAGTGATGCATAATATGTGGGAAACTAGTCCATTGAGTCAGGATAGAGCTATAGACCATGGTGAGGCCATAACCTCTTAGAAGCAGCAATTAAGTCTTATTCTAATCTGTATCTTGTATTGCATGTTATCTATTGGTATCACATAAATAGATGCTCACTTAAAACCTAAAGGATAATGAAAGCCAGCTGGGTCCTCACTGCTGCTCCATAGTCTTATTTGTCCCACATTCTTGCTGTGGCCTGTTACCTAAACAGTCATCATAAAACTCTTCCAGGTTCTCTCTAGCTTCCCGACTCCTTTTGACTCCCCTCTTGTCATACAATGTGCCCTCTGACCTCAAGATAGGCTCTCTTCACTCCCTCCTGTCCTATCACTCTGCTTCATCTCACCTTTCTAATAATTGGCCTCTTAATACCATTCCTCCCACTCCCAATGGCACTTTCCTTTTCCAGACAGCTCTCTGATTATATTGGGTCTTTCTCTCTATTTATTCCTCCTCCTTAGTGAGTTGATGTTTCCCCACGCCAAGAAAACAGAAAACAAGCAGCCCTTCACACACACACACACACACACACACACACACACACACACACACACCTCATCCCTAACTTTTGCTTCTTCTTTGAGATACTTTCTCATTTCACTTCTATAATTCTGAAAAGAGAATTCCAAAGACTAGCAACTGGTAGTAGGACAAATTCCGCCCACAGGTGTATTATAGTTGACCCTCAATTGTTTTATTTTTTTTTAATTGAACTAATATTTAGAAATCTGGATATCTGGTTTTCTTGCTTATTTTGGAAAATTAAAAGATCAGGCAATGTTGACCTTCAGTCTGCCACAGACCTCTCTCCTTTCTATTACTTCTCACACCTGGCCCATTTATCATGTTTGCATTGCCTGATGGACGATTCTATTATCAGAACTAGCAACTTAGAGACAAATGGTTATCAGAATTTACCCAACAAAATCTGGCTTCTGTTTCTATTCTCTTCCAAAAGCTTACTCTGTAATGTTGTTATTAACCTAATAGCCAAGCCAAGACTTTTTTCTCCATTCTCACCTCTATTGATCCCGCTGCAGTGGCATTCCTGTCCCTCAAAGTATCAATTTCATTAAATACTAATGTCCCACTTTGGTTTCCTCTTCCCCCTCTGATGTTGCCCTTCCTCTATCTTCTTCCTCAGCTCCCTTCGCATCTTGGCTGGCTCATTACTTTCTCCCTTTTCATCTTTACATCTATAGGTATTACTTAATATTTTCTGACTATATGTCCCTCATTTCTGTTCTTTGTGATTAAGTTTTTAAACCAGTACAATTAAACCAGGGAGGTGGCCTGGAGTGAAGAGTGGGGACTCCAGACTTTGCCATGTGTCAGCTGCATAACCCTGGATGGAGTCCTTATGTTCTCTTAACATGTGCTAGCAAACGTGGGTAATAACTGCATCCCCACATAGGTCGTTTTCAAGATATTATAAGAAGAAAGCTTCTAAAGCACATGCATGATATGGAGCATAAACAACCAGTAGATGTTAATTATTTTTCACTCCATTTTTTTTTAAGTTTTGCTCTTTGCATATGACTTGTCTCCCCTTAGACTGTGAGGTCTTGGAAGGCATGAAGCGTGGCTTGTGGCTCTTTGTTTTACACAAGGTACCCAGTTCAATACTGTCCAAATGGCAGGCACACAGCTAGTATCTGCTGAGTAAGTGGAAGGAATGAATGAACCTCTCCGAGAACTGCCAGGAGCTTCCTCAGAATTCCAGGAACTGAGCTT